TCAAATCAAATTTATAGGAGGGGATCTTCAAGGATGATCAGGTGACGCCTCATCACTTGGCGGAGCTCGAGGAATAAGAGGTGCCGGAGGTTGACTGTTGGAAGCTTCACCACTCGGCGAAGCTCGAGGAAGAAGAAGCACCGAAGGTTGACTGTTTGGAGCCTCAAGACTCGGTAAAACTCTAGAGGACGAAGGCAATAGGTGTCTCTGGAGTGAAGCCATAAACATCTGATGGTCACTCTGAATCCGACCTTCGGATTCTTGCAGCTGGTCGAGCTTTCTCTTCATGCTCGTCGAGTAACTATTGGCAAGCATGTGCAACTCTCTGTTTTCACGCTTGAGCCCTCTAATCTCCTGTTTGAGACTCATCACTTCAGCCGCCAATGATTCAACTTGACGGGTTCGAGCAAATAGACGTTGGGCCATATTAGACACAGAACCTGCACACTGCACACTGAGAGCCAGAGAATCCTTAACAGCCAACTCATCAGACCGTTTGGAAAGTAGTATATTATCTTTGGGAGTGACAAGGTTCCTGGCCACCACCGCAGCAGTCATATCATTCTTCATCACCGAATCCCCAACGGTAAGAGGACCAGTAGGGGATATGAAGGATGGGCGCCATATGTTGTCTGGAGAAGGCGGGACTGCCTCTTCACCAAGGTTCAAGTCAAAACGACGATCAGAGGGTCCAGACATTTTCAAAGGTGTTAAAGAAAGAAGAGGTCGGACAAATCAAGATCTTAGAAGTGCAAGAAGGGAGTTTCTACAAGCGAAAATTCAAGTGTGCTTTGAAACGAATTGCGTGCCTCTATAAAAATCAACACTTGACGGGATTTCAGAGATCGAAGAGGCGAGCTCAGAATTCGAAGAGGCCAATTCAAAAATCGAAGAAGTGCTAGCTTTCTCAAAAGCTGGGCTTGCTCAGAAAACCACGGGCCAATCTTCCTTTCCAGACTTGTCCGCACTTGTCACATGCAACCTCTGCACTCGACAGAGCTTAGAAATCGAAGAGGCCAATTCAAAAATTGAAGAGGCAAGCTCAGAAATCGAAGAGGCATCTTGCTTTTCCAGACGCGTCAGCACCCATCACATGCAAACTCAGCTTTGCGGAAATCACGGACAATTTGTCGAAGCGCCAATCCTAGATATCGAAGAGGCGCCAGGCTTTTTCAGCCTCGTCAACACCTGTCACATGCACACTCAGCTTGGAGGAAATTACGGAGAATTTGTCGAAGATTTATGATGAAGAAGAAAGCGCGTGAAGCCATACTGATCAATCACTCAATGGTTGTCGACACGAGTGAAAGAATAGTACCTCTACAGGTATTAAAGAGCTTCCTATAACTGTCTACCTTCACCTTCCATAGCAAGGCAGACATACATAACCTTTCTTTATCTCCGAGAATGCCTTCCCAGCGAAGCCTCTCGAGTCACTCAGTGTTCCTTATTCCTTGGGGTACCTCAGCAAACAAATGACACCAAAGCAAAAGTATCTCATATCACCAGGGTAGAAAGCAAGAGTATCTCATATCATGCTTTCTCCCTGTCCTTTCCTTTGTCCTTGTTCTTACCTGCAAAGACAAGGATAAAGAAAGCAATATGCCGGAACCTCCACTCAAACCCAGGTAAGGAATCGACTACCTGGAACCTTTGCCTGGTTGCTTACATGGTATTGCTCTCGAGTACTCGTCTTCCACTACTGCTGTACTTCCAAAGAAGCTGCCACATCTGCCTGAAGAACAGATAAGGCGAGTGAAAATGATACCTTGCAGCATGTGGAGACAACATGCAGAAAAAACAAGCAGAGAATAATGCAGCCTGCACAGTCAACTCATCAGAAGAAGTCTGAGTTGAGGAACTCGAGGAGATGCCACATTTGCCTAAAGAACAGATAAGGCAAGTGAAAATGATACCTTGAAGCATGTGGAGACAACGTGTTGATTTTCTTCAAAATTAAGTCTCCATTTCCCTGCATAATCGACCAACCCAGCAGAAGGAGTCTGAGTTGAATCCAAGAGCTCGACATATTGACGGCACCATCGCCGAAGAGCAAAGCCTCGATATGCAACGCTGTCAAATCGCCACCACTTCTTCGAAAGCAGGAGTATTTCATATCATGCTTTCTCCCTGTCCTTTTCTTTGTCCTTGTTCTTACCTGCGGGACAATGAGAAAAAGAGCAATCAACCAACACTTGGTGTCAAACTCCCAGTCAGGAACCGACTGCTTGGAACCCTTCCCTGATTGCTTACCTAGCACTACTCTCGAAGTACCCATTATCTCAACATCTTATGCTTCCAGAGAAGATACCACATCTGCCTAAAGAACAGATAAGGCAAGGGAAAGTGATACATTAAAGCATGTGGAGACAAGCACAACAAAGCACGTGCCGATTCATGCTACTTCTTCAAAATCAAAAGTATCTCATATCATCAGGGTTGCAATCACTCTGGGTAGTGGACTCGTTTTGACCTTCAAATTCTTGGGTCGACTTGCTAGGCGTTGTGGGCTGCACGTGCCGATTCACCACCCTTGAATCAAATCCTTAAAGATCAAGTCACCAACTGAAAGAAGAGCCCATCAATCTTGAAGATCATACCGTTGACCAAACTGCTCAGGTGTGAATTAGAAAGATTGAGCTAAGCAGCAAGTCGTCACCTTCACCTCGTGCCTGCTTGTCATGTGTTCGAGTCAACCTTCAAGAATCAAGCCTCAACGACCCTTGAAGAAGCTTCCAGCCAAATTCAAGATCAAGCCTCGACGACCCTTGAGGAAATCACAAGTCCGATTCAAGATCAAGTGTCTACCACCCTTAAATCAAATCCAGTTCAAGAATAAGCTGTGGAAAGTCAACAATTGGAGGAAACCAGAAAATCCTCCAACCTAGTTCAAGAATAAGCCTGTGGAAAGTCAACAATTGGAGGAATCCAGAAAATCCTCCAACCCAGTTCAAGATCAAAGATGTGGAAAGTCAACAAGCGCAACAAAATACGTGTCGATTCATCCACTACCAAAGCCAAAGATCATCTACCACATGAAGTCCTTGTGGTCCGATTTCAACCTTCAAGAGTAAGCCTCGACGGCCCTTGAAGACATTTTCAGCCCAATTCAAGATCAAGCCTTGATGGCCCTTGGATCGACATCTACAATAAGGAACTTCAAAACACATCTCCTACACATGACAAGCACATGTATACGACGCGCCTTGAAGTGGGGGCATTTGTAGACATCGAAATTTCCGTAAATAAATGTTGACCGATAAATCAAAGTTTCAACGCTCATGTATTACATAAATTTTACACGTAGCGTGTGTCTAAACAAAAAATCGAGAATCATCGGAAAAGTCATCAAACAGGACACGTGTTAACACCTGGCAGAAACGACTTATTTCATCTGGAATATTATATTCAAAATTAGGCCTTGGAAAATTCTATAAATAGAAGCCAATTTCATTTCAAGGGACCAATTCATATTACATCTTGAAGCTCTGAAGCTCTGAAACTCCGAAGCTCTCAAGCATCCAGGTTCCCGAAGAATCAAGAAAGCCTTCTTCGTTCTTCGTTCATCGTTCTTCCAAGATCAAGCCCTGATGGTCCTCGGATCAACAATCATCCACCTTCAAGATCAAGCCCCAAAGGCCCTTGAAGAACTTCCACCAATTCAAGATCAAGCCCCAACAGCCCTTGAAGAAAGTGTTCATCGTTCATCATCCGTTCATCCCGAAGAATCAAGAAAGCCTTCTTCGTTCTTCGTTCTTCCAAGATCAAGCTCCGACGGCCCTTGGATCAACAATCATCCACCTTCAAGATCAAGCCCCAACGGCTCCTTGAAGATCCGCTCAAATCCACCTTCAAGATCAAGCCCACGGCACTTGAAGAACGTTCATCCTTAGATCAAGCCCAACGGCCCTTTGGATCAACAACGTCGACAAATCCATACATCCAACCGGTTCTTCAAGATCAAGCCCAAAAGCCCTTGAAGATCCGTTCATCATTGTTCTTCAAGATCAAGCCCAAAAGCCCTTGAAGATCCGTTCATCACCATTATTCAAGATCAAGCCTCAACGGCCCTTGAAGAAACACTCATCCTCAAGATCAAGCCCTAACGGCTCCTTGAAGATCTGCTCAAATCCACCTTCAAAGATCAAGCCCACGGCCCTTGAAGAAACTTCCAACAGTTCATTCAAGATCAAGCCTCGACGGCCCCTGGATCAATCGCACATCCAAAAATCAACACCTTACGGAGATCGAATCAGAGGATCAAATTTGAGAGAGATTGTAACCCAAAATCATCAAATACAAATATTATTTTGTGCACGTTGTTCTTGTCTCTTTCCTTTCAGGAAATTTTCGTGTTCACATTATCATGATCTCAGAGCTTTTTTGCAATATGTTCCGCGTTCAAGTCTGCATTCTCTACTTCTTTGTTATTTGTAGTCTTCATATATGTACCTCACCATGTGCAAGAGAAGCACACACATGCGACAGAGTATAAGCTTGATGTACGCTATTATCTCATTCCTTGACAAGTTAAGCTTTTAGGGTTAGTGATTGTCTAACAAACACGACCACACGAACAAGGAGAGTGACAATGAAAACACTAACAATGTGAGAGGAGTAAAATTCTTCTATGAACAAAGGAAGAGCTAGGTTGGTTCCATGTAAAATTGAACCAATCAAAGGAATAAGATCAAAACTTAGGGGTTCATTTGATAATCATTTGGTTTTTGGTTTTCACATTTTGTGCTTGTGGGAATCAAACTCCTTCTCTATCCCTAACCCTATTTTGAGTCATGGGCCTTAAAGTTCTAAGAAACTTTAGACTCGATTGTTAAAAAATGCACTACAAGAACACAATCATTGAAATACTCAAGCACTACAAAGTTACTACTAAAAGTCCCGAGCCTTGTAGGTAGAACTTCAAAGTCCCTCGTTCAAACTCACCCTAAAGGTCTCTCGGGGTTCATAAAAATTTAAGTCTCTAAAGACTGAGGAAAAACTAGATACAATGGTTCCACTAGTATTCAAGTAAGATGACATGAAATGTACACCTTACAAGGTTTGAAGTTTGTACAAGAAATAGTATCAAAAGACTTTACATTGTTAAGCACTTTCTCTATACTTTCCTCCTGACTCAATTATTTACATGAATAATAAATAATGACCCAATTATTCATATTTTTTATTAAACCATCACTGGTGGAAACAGGGTCCTGCAAAATTGGTAGGTTATTAATCTAGCACTATTATACTACTCAAATCCAGGACTGGATTGGGTAGCTGCATTTGAAAGAGTTCACTCCACTGATATGAGCAAAGATATCCGAAGAATCAGCCAAATCCTCTTCCTCTTTCACAGCTACCTGTAAGAATATATACTAATGTCAGATGACTGGAATACAATGCACAATGACAAGACTTTGAAAGGTGACAAGACGCCTAGGATAATATAATTCACAACATTTTGAGAATTGTTTCTTGCAAGATAAGGTATGTGTTAAAAGTGTACGAGGCATTACTTCATCATCTTCATCATCTTCATGATTGCTTCCAGCAGATCTGTGGGTCTCTCCAAAGTCATCGTTCTTTGCAAATCTTCCTCGGACTCGAGGTCTGCTGTCAGCAAGTGTTTTGCGGCAGGCATACTGCATATTTGCTTGAACATTAGTGAGAGTTTAACCCTAATCCCTAATTGAAACGCACATAGTAACATACACGCACACATGCAAATATGAGTAAAGGCATATGCTTTTCACACATGTTTTTATAGAGAGAGAGAACCTTGATTTTCTTGGTGAAGTTCCTCTCATTCCTTTTCTTCATGTACCTGTGGATCTTTTCTTTCCTCTCTTCAACAGAGAGCTTGCCTACTTTAAAATTTGGGTCTTCGGCTATTGGAATCTCAGTTGGTAAAGAAGTAGAGTTCCCACCCCCACTCACCAGTTGCTGACTCTCAGCACTAAGTGCCTTTTGTAGAGATTAAAGGTGAAAATTACACCCAAAGAAAAAGTAGCAAAGAAAAATAACATTAGTCCCTTCTAGTGCACAAGAAAGAAAATATGTCCTTATTTCGATGCTAAGCGTGCTGATATTATCGGTTAATTTGAATGTGATACCACTTTTTCCAGTCTACATGCAGATGATGACAGTTCAGAAGAAACAGATAAGCAAGATGGTACTTCTGTAGCTGTGGCCCCTACGAGGGTTTACAACGCTAAGTTCCCATCAATTGACTTTAATGGCCAACTAAAGCTCATGAGAGAGACAGGACTAAAATGCAGAGAGGTTTTTTAAGAGGGCAAGGTTCTTCAAGTTCTTCAATTTTCAACAACTATTCACCACAATTGTTGAAACTCAACAAATCAACTTGATATAGCAGGAGAAGGGTAAAGAGACTCCATATACCTTTTCTCTTCGTTCTATATGGTTTATCAAACTTCATTCTTGATTTTAGTTCGAAACTTTGAAACCAAACTAAACTGTTTGATGTGTTTCTTGTGAGAAATAAAATAGTTATTTCTTAAATTATCTCCTAGTATCTACCAAGAAGTTGCAAGCAGCGATTATTACCTGAAGCTCTTCGGGGTTAAAAACCCTCGATAATGAATCTGGACAGAAAATTCCGCCACTGTCTCCCTGATATTCCAAGTCTTTCTGTTGCAGTTCAGAAGCCATAAGAATGCTGCTGGTGAAAATTCCAGTACCGTCAGCTGATAATGCAGCAGGATTTATAGGCCCAGTAGGCATGTAGGGTCCCATAGGAGGACCGAGAAATGAACAGGGAGGAGAAGAAGGGTTCAAAGGAACATAAGAAGGCACTGAAGACAAGCAATCCTCTTCAAAAACCGATGCTATTGGAGCTGTCATAAGAGTTGGTACAGGTTCGGCAGGGTACTGTGAAAATCCCTCAACAACAGGATCTGCTAATGGAATTTGAGAGAAATCAAATTGATCTTGCGGGTTTATGAGAAACGAAGGTACCGAAAAGGGTGGGGATGGAGAAAAATCAATGGAAGCTGATATATCATTGTCAATTTCCTCTTGGGAATCAAAGATTATGGAAAGGTTGCCACTATTGTTGTTGGTGGCATTAGTGGTGGTGGTTGCGGTGGTATGAACGCTGGCAGCAGTGGTGGTGGTGTTGGTGCTATTAGTTGTGGGGGTTTGGGAAATGTTTGCGTCAGTATTACCATTGTTGTCTGGGTAGATACAGAACGTGGTTTCTATATCTGGGGGTAGTGAAAGGTTTGTTGCAAAGGATGAATTTTCTTCGTAGCAGCAATTTGGAGAAGTGGTGACCTCGGAATTCTGTAGGGTCTCTTGGAATAGTTCCGGGTCGCAAAATTCAAATATTTGAGCGCTAATCTGGCTAGAAATTTCATCCTGCAAGCAAAACATCAGAGAGCAATATTAAAAATATGATTATCTGACAAAAATCCACGCAAAAAACCCTTATCATCAACTATAAGATTGCAAAATAAAACCTTTTTGTTAAGTTCATCATTCATCATAATTTTTAACTTGTTAGACGAGATATTGATGTAGGCATGCTCCATCTTAGTACAGCAAATACATATCAACCTGCCTCACAGTAGAACTTTCCCTCAATCCCTCCCTCGGATTTTTTCTTTCAATATGCATAAGGCAAGCATGTAAAAAGTTAAAAATAAATAGAAAGAATAGGATGTTTTCCAATTTTTTTTTTTTATGTAGTTTCCGTGGACCAACCTGCCATGTATATATATGATTCATTGAGCACATAAGTGTTCAAAAGAAGGATGGTTTTGGTGGTGGGTTTTTTTGTGCAAAGTAGAAAATGATGTGCATTTGTGCTACATGTGACATGTAGGATGAAAGTTGCCCAACTGCTGCTAGAAACTAAAGGAGTAAACTAAGAAGGAAGCTCATGGTATGTAAGTTTTGTTCAGTTTACAGAAACAACTCGGTCCGAACAAACAATCAGAATTTATAAGCAATTGGAAGAAAAGAAGCAATTATGTTATCCATGTGAAATGCTTGTCACACTAGGGCTCTCCTTTAACCATCTAAATGCAAAAAGATTCAAGATTAGAAAAGCTTATAGGTGAAGCATAAAAAGCTAAATATTCCCATTCTATTCCAATACAAAAGTGGGAAATAACTAGTATGCAACCCTAAGACAATGACAATTTTGTGCGTATTATTGGCAACAAAGGTTGAAATAACTAGTAAGTCTATATAACCAGCTCGATGATTGTTAGCACAAAATTGATGAGATTTGCTTGTGCAATTTCTATTGACAGTAAAATGCCTTAACCCTACAAATTCTTTGGGAACAGAACTCTAGTAGCAGGTCCATATCGATACTATGAACGCGCAGGATCAAAGTTTTGTATTTGCTTTAATTTTATTCCAACTAGTTGATCCAAAACTCAGAAGTACACGAGATGATGAATTTTGTGATTGTCAGAGATGTCGAAATCAAACAAGACATTCAAATTTGAATAATCCAAAATGCACACGCGACTGGGGAAGATAGAGATGCGAAAAGGATTGAGCAAAATGATGGTTACAGCACATAGCAGAAATCCCAGAAAGAGGTGAAAGTGAAAGGGAATGGATATGAAAATTCCTTGCTTCTGGACCCCTCAACCAATTGGCAAGAAATTTTGACCCGAACCAACTAAGAACATCAACATTGAACCCAACAAAGCATAAAAAACATGTAAAGAAGTAAAGAACAAATTGATTAGCATGCAATTATCTTTTAATCTACGACTAATTCAGAAAACCACATTTGCAGAAATAAATGTCAAAATAATTAAGAAATACTTTAATCTTTAGACTAATCCCGAACAACCCATTCGCCGAAAGACACTAATTTGCAGATTAAACACACACACATGTACGTGTGTGTGTATATATATGTATACATATACCTTAAAACTAATTCTGAAGACATTTCCACAAACACACTAATATGCAGATTACAAAGATACATGCATATAAACACCATTATCAATCAGAAATCACTATATGAATGCATGCATGCATGAACGGAGATTGAGATTAAAAAATGGGATTTAACCTGCGCCTGCTGTTGCTGCTGCTGCTGGGTCATATGCTGCAACATGATTTCCAAATCTCTCTCTCTATGCTTCGAAAGCTTAATCGAATTGGTTCGGTTGCTTAATTAAAAATTAGCAAAAGAATCAATGAGAGAAATATTGTAGGAATGCATTAATCAATATTTACATGCATAATTTGCTCCTCCTCACACGGACCCCCTGTGATCTCGATGGGATGAAACTATATACAGAAGGAGGAGCCAATGCAAAAAAAAAGTGCAAAACGCAAAACAGTTTTATTAAAATTAAATTAAATTAAATTAAATTAAAAAAAAGCTAATTAAGCAGCTAACAATATCAAACAGACAGGATAACGACAGAAGAAAAATAAATAGGGAAGGATGAGAAAAACAGATAGAAAGAGAGAGAGATGAGGAGGTTATAATGGAGAGAGAGAGAGAGAGAGAGAGAGAGAGAGAGAGAGAGAGAGAGAGAGAGAGAGAGAGTCAGCTAAGAAAATGGAGGGTGTGGGGTGGCTGGAAACTATAGTTATATACTGAAATATAAAACGATAGGGGTGTGTCCGTACTTAGCCGTCAAGGCTGGCACTGGTCAACCCGAGCTTCGCGGGGGATCGCAAGTTTCTGAGTCCGTACGTGCCGTGGCACTCTGGGTGAACACAACTGAAGGAGACGGGACACGTGGCCAACTGGGTCGTGAAGCATTCAGCAATGGCGGGTGACCTGGCTTCCTAATGGATTTTTTGTTTTAGCAGGTTATGGTTTTCTGATAACTTCCTTAACTCGCAACAGTTAGAGCAGGAATTGGCTGACCAAACCCTTTTGCCTTTGCCTTTTGCCCGATTCTTTGAACTGTTTGTTTTGTTATTTGGTAAGTCCCGATTCTTTGAAAGGTTTCGGTGAGATAATGAAACTATCATGAAAAATGGCAAACTTTGCTTCTCTTTTTGCTTTCTTTCTGTTTTCTTTTTGGCACATTTTATGGTTGAAATTCCTTGAATAGCCTTTTATGGATGGAATTGTTGTGTGCTGCAATGTTTTGGTTTTAGATGAGACTCAAGGGCTGATTTGGTAAAACAATAATATTGGATCAACTCAGATTTTGAAATATTAATAACAGCTCATATATAATGCAATATTACACAATTTACTCAGATTAACTCAGATTTTGAAATATTAATAACAGCTCATATATAATGGTTGAAATTCCCCTCTTGTTTATTAATAAAAGGGAATTTTCGACACCAATCAATCATGAGGAGAACTTGGACCAAAAGAATTAAGAAAGAGAACGAAAATGATTAGGAATACTAATGATTTGATTTGCAGTTACATTACATAGTAGATTATGGAATATAATCAACGGAAAATTATCGGAATTAAGAGTAATAATAATTTGGGAATTATGCGCAGTGGATAAGGATGTAGTTAATTATTCCAAAATATGTGAAAAACTGAGGAGTGTGCATATAGAACTAGCTTGAAGGGAAATATAACTAAAACAGTAAAGAACAATTATGGTTGATTAAGTCGTAGTCATTGACTGACTCGATCGTTTCGAAATGCTTCTGAATCTCATCTTCTGCATGGGATTGGGTGGGAGAATATGGGGCGGATGGCAACGTGCATTATCTTGAATTTCATTCTTATGCTCCATAATGCAGTCGTGCCTAACTGTTCATGATCAATGATGGGAGTCAAATTTAAGGTTAAGACAAGTTTAGGGTTTAGGAATTCCAGAAAGATGAGGCACTTTAGAAAATTCGAGATCCTTTTCAATGACAAAGTAATCTAATTTTTAGAAACCCTTAATTTGGTGCATTTTCTCTACTATTTTCTTTTCTCGTTGAGTGAAATAATCGAAAACTCATTTATACTAATAAAATATATGCAACAAAAAAAACATGACATTTATAACAAAAGAGATGGACCCACATACGATATGCTCTTTTTACTATCAAAACATATGACTTGTTGAGTGACAGAGATTAACCCATAAACATGTTAATTTTGATTCTTAGAAGTGTTGGCGAAACCACGAATTATTAGGGAGGAGTGAAATTTAAAAGGGTAAAAGGTTCAACAAAAATATAGACGACCAAATCCTAAACATCAAGCTAATCATTCAAATGACATGTTTACAAATGTGTAATCCAATAATACTACAATTTGTACATCTCAAACACAAACACAAATAATAACGACCTTGAACCAAAAGAACAAGATCATGAAAGTGGAGCTAAACATAATGCATAAACCCTAGAGCTAACACATGGACTTTTATCCACAAGTGATGAGAATGCGCTCATTAAAGTGGCGAGACCATATCTGCTCCACGCGTAGTTCAACCTTCAAGAAAAACTGAGCAGTTGAATGCAACCTTATCAAGCTCTCCTCCCCATAGTGAGGAGAAAAGTTAAAGGTATTAAAGAAATGATTAATTACTAGATCTTATCTTTATGTTTTCCTAATTGAAGATCAACTCAATCAAGCAAGTAATCACAATCACATATAATCAAGAATATTACAAGATAATCCCAAGATATTAAGTAATTAAGTAAATCTTCGGGATAATTCTTTCCTCCTTCACCTACGGATGACACACATTGGGCAATCGAATGTCGACGCATAGCATGGCATACCCTACAAATGTGGATGACCCTAGCTCCTATAAATACTCCATTCTCCATAAAATTTTAGTGAACTTTTTCTATGCAATTAAGCTCTAAAACTTTCTTTTCAGAGAAACTGACTTAAGCATTGGAGATTCGTGGCCAAGCCCCCTCCCCCCTCCCCCCAACTTCTAGGGCGCGTGGCTTTGATCTTTAATCAAAGATATTTATTTGTTTTGTAGGTACAAATTCGTCAAGACTAAAGATGATAGATTTTTGCTACCACAAAATAGTGCTTTCATTGAGAGCCCGATTTAATTCTTGAAGAAAGCTCTCGCAATTCCTTTTAGAATTTTCCATTACGTTAAATTTCTCGTACGATCCTAGTCACTGAACTTTTTTAAAGTTTTTTTATTAGTTCGTTGAGAAAGGATACAATGGTAGGATATTATGAAAGCACGATGAACAACACTCTTTACTTACCTAAGTTTTCACCAATCGATGGATGCATGGTTGCCACAGCATCAGCAGCCCACTCTACAATTCAATGAGGCCTGATCATTTAGAGATGACTAAGAGGCATGAATGAGCATTAGTCCATAGTCAAGGCTTGCCTTTGACGCGCTTGCCATCCAGTCTAATCGTGTTGGCCATGCTTAACAAGCAGATGCTGCAGCCAGAGCCAAGGCACAAGCCCATATAGGTCATTGTCATTGTCAATCCATGTTGGTACAAATTCAAGAGCCCACGCTAGCAGCTGCAGCAAACCTTGCAACCTAGACGAGGTCCAAAACCCAAAGAAATGCAACTAGCACCGACTTTAACAGGCTCAACCTATAGTGCATGAAGTTCATATCACACGAAGCCTAGCATGCAGGCCTCTAGTCAACAAAGGTAAAGTTAACCTAGATGCGTACTCGCGTGCTTGCACCAGATCTGCGCCCCACTGCCCAAACAGGCCTTTGGATCGGTTTACCCGAATTGCTGGCCAGTCGCCACACTAGTTCTGGTTCAGACTGGACCGATCGGTCCATTGGCGACAATTCTGATTCATTTTTCGGTGATCCCAACCTGTTTTCCAGCGATCCAGATCGAATTATATGCCCAATGTCCACTACTCTTCCACCATTCACACAAATGCTTATTAGACGAGCTCCTTCATTCCAAATGGTGACTACACATTTCCCGGCAAGTTACTGACTTGACCAGTGTCCTCACGAGACATGTGCTGTATTAAATTCTTCTTTTTCTTTCTCCTTTATTTTCAATTTTGCCTTTTTCTTCTAATTTAACTATAAAAAAAAAGTTACCTCTGGTAAATTTGAACCCAAAATCTTTTTCATGTTGCTTTTGTTGTGAAACTAATTATTGGGAGAAGGTAAAAAGATGGCCACTAGAGAAGAGAGAAATAGTGGAGGGGCTAGAGGAATTTTGTGTGTAATCCCTTGTGCCTAGTGCATTTATTTATACTAATTATGATGAGCTTCGTTGCCTACAAGCAATTAAAGTTCTAAAGGAAAATGATATTCTAGATCCTATAGGATTCCTACTTCTAGTTTACACAATCACACTAGCTATAAAATCATATTCACTACACTCACCCTTGGGTGTGTACAACTTAAGTATCGCATCATGTCTTCATGATTAGCACATGGCAATTGTTGTCGTCAATTCTCGGCAAGCACAAACAATGTATATGTGAGTCTCTAAGTAGGGATGCATGTAGAAGTATATTATCACCAAAACCTGGCTACAGTAAACTCAGTGGGACATACATGTAGTCTAGGGAGAAAAATTTGAGTTGATTGAGGATGTCGATGTTTCACATCTTTAGGATGATCATTAACATAAACAAGGGTAGAACCAGCCCAATGTTGGTGGCTTATCAAAACCGCGTCAAGTTCGTGAATATCCAATGGCAAAAGTGCTCATATTTGTAGGAAAAAAAAGTAGATTAAGGTCATGCGAATATACTTTAAGATACTCTCCCCAAGTTCGACAAAACTCCCACTAAGAACTATAAACATTTCAAATGAGATAGGTCATGCTATCCAATAACTTAGGAAGTTTTTGGTAGTAAACACCGACAACGACTTTGTGAAAAGATCATCGAGGTGGACTGAATCTGCTTGACTTCAATCTTTTAATGCTTTGTAGATGAGTGAAGGACTTCAACGTGCAATATGCTTGGTGTTGACTTTTTGGATCGTCTATTTGCTACAAGTGACATTATATTCGTGGATCGTTGTAGGAATCCAACAATAGATGAAAATCCGTAAGTGCTTTGAATATGCTCAACAAGAGCTCTTAACCATGTCTCTCACGTGTAGCATAGTGAGGTGTGGTAAACTTGGCATGAATCGAAGACATTGCAACTGGTAATGTGGACCTCTAAGATATTGTGGTATTCCCTAATAGTAAAGACATAACCATTTGGGAATGTGCCTTGTGCAGGTATGATAAGGAACTGGTGCTAGCATAGCAAACAAAGCAAGCTTCATTTTAAGGATCAGGTGTGTTGGATCAGCTAGAGATGAACAAGGATAAGCCAAATCCATAGTACCTTTTAGGTAGCGAAATAACGACTTTAATGTCAATTCAGTGGGAGCGCGTAGGTGCAGTGTTGTATCTTTACCAATAAATCAACAATGAATGAGATGTTTTGCCTAATGTAATGAGCTAAGAACAAACAAAAATTGAACTTAAATAAGGAACTTTGGGTTCCAAAACCTCCACAAGGTCTCATTTGTATCTAACATATGGTTGATCATGGTATACCTA